GGGGGGGGGGAAGGGGGGGCGGGGGCGCAGGCGGCGCCTGCGGCGCGTTCCCGGGGACCCCGCCGACTTGGGAAAGCTGCAGCGGATGCTGCTGCTGCTGCTGCTCCTGCTGCTGCTGCTGCTCTTGCTGCTGCTGCTCCTCTTGCTGCTGCTGCTGCTACTCTTGCTGCTGCTGCTCCTCTTGCTGCTGCTTTGGGCTCTGGAGCTGCTGCTGACGGCGCTGTTGCTGCGGGAGCTTCTGGTTGCAAGGAGACCGAAAAAGCTTCGCTGCTGCTGCTGCTGCTGCTCCGTTCACAATGCTGCTGCTCCTGAGGCTCCTATTGCTGCTGCTGCTGGGCTTGCTGCAGCTGCTCTTCACTGTGCTGCTGCTGCTGCTGCTGCTGCTGCTCTGAAAGAAACGCCCTTTAAGTCGGCACGGAACGGAACCCAGAACGATTGCTGCTGCTGCTGCTGCCGCTATTCTTGCTGCTGCTGCAGCTATCGAAGCCAATGCTGCTGCTGGCCTTGGAGCTGCTGCTGCTGCCTGCTGCTGCTGCTGCTGCTGCTGCAGCAGCAGCAGCGGCAGCAGCCGTTCGCGTCTTCCAGCGGAGACGGGGAACCAGCTAAAGCAAAAGCAGCCTTGGCAGCAGCAGCAGCTCTCGTTGCTGCACTGCTGCTGCTGCTGCTGCTGCTGAGACGGCAGCCACGTGCTCTCGCGAGAACCCCAGGCTAGCAGCAGCAGCAGCTGCTGCTGCAGCTGCTGCTGCAGCAGACTTGCAAGAAGCGACAGGTTTTTCTTAGAGAAAAACTCTCAAGTCAAAGACGCAGAACTTAGGCGCAAGGGTTCAGTCTTCAGGGTCTAGGGTTTAGGGTTTAGGGTTTAGGGTTTAGCTGGGACTGCTCAAGCCAGCGGTCCTGATCCACGGAATTCGGTTTTCTAATTAGTTACTAAAATAGCGCTTTATTAAAAACCTCGCAGAGACCCTGCTGCTGCTGCTGCTGCTGCAGTTGCTGCTGCTTCTGCTGCTGCTGCTGCTGCTGCCGCTCGCGGGGGCCCTGGGCCCCCGGCGGAACGAGACCTCTTGAGCCCCAAAACCCCAAACCCTAAACCCTAAACCCTAAATCCTAAATTATTTACTGAAATTCCAAGCAGTAGAGGCTTGGAAACCCCAAACCCTAAACCCTAAACCCTAGTCGAGGCCTCGTGTGTGCTGCAAGACAGCAGACCGCTGCCGACACCTCCACGCCAAAACCCTAAACCCTAAACCCCGAACCTAAAGCCCTGAAACCTAGGCCCTAAACCCTAAACCCTAAACCCTAAATTCGGGTTTCATCGCTAAAGTCAGGGACCTCCGTCTCAGCACCGCCTCTAAATGTCGCCGTCTGGCGCTAGAGCAGTGAACGCTAAACCCTAAACCCTAACACCAAACCGTAAACCCTAGCCTAAACCCTAAACCCTAGCCTAAACCCTAAACCCTAGCCTAAACCCTAAACCCTCTAGCCTAAACCCTAGCAGAGCCACAAAAGCGCCGCTGCAAACCCTCGGTCAGGAAACAGGGAGGGCGGGAGTTTGCTACTTACCGCTCAACCGCGCAAACCCTAAACCCCAAACCCTAAACCCTAAGCCCCAAACCCTAAACCCTAAACACTAGACCCTAAATGTACCTTGTCTGCCTCTCAGCTTTCTCTGGCCAGCTTTGAGGGTTTAGGCCAGCGCTGAAGCAACTGGGTTAGCAAGGGTTTAGGGTTTACGGTTTAAGAATTGGGGTTTAGGGTTTAGGGTTTAGGGTTTAGGGTTTGGCTAGCGGCCAGTCAATTTCTTTTATTTCTCTTTTCCAGATATCTTTGAGGTTTTATCTCTTCGAAGTTTTTCTCTTTTAATTTCTTTTCATTTTTTCTTTATTTCCTCTTTTATCTTTTTTCGCTCTTCTTTTCTTTCTTTTCTTTTATTTGATTTTGTTTCTTTTATTTGTTTCTTCTTTTCTATTTTTCCTTTTTTCTCTTTTTCTCTTTTCTGTTTTTCTTCATTAACCTTCTTTTTCATCTTCTTCTTCGTCTTTTCATTCTTTTTCCTTTTTAATCTTTTTGTTTCCTTTCTTCTTCATTTCTTTTTTATTTTCTTCTTTTCGTCTTTTTGCTTCTTTTCCAGGAGACCAAAAGAAACAAAAAGGGACCAAAAAAGACAAAACAAAATTAAAAAAAGCAACAGAGACTCAGAGACTTGAAAAGTTAAACAAATCTGAAAAAAGAACAAAGAAATATGAAAGATAATTAAAAAAAAGATTAAAAAAAGATTAGAAAAAAAACTATAAGAAAATAGGGACTTAACCCTTCAAGCTTAAGTCTCAAGGAAGCAAATCTAAAAACCCCAAAAGGCCCTCGAGGCCCACAGGGGCCCCTGTGGGGCCCCCTGTGGGGCCCCTCGGGGGGGCCCCCCGTGGGGGCCCATGTGGGGCCCCTCAGGGGGGCCCCCCGTGGGGGCCCCTGTGGGGCCCCAGAACAAATCAGGGGGCCCCCCTGGCTCCCCCTCTTCTCTCCAGCATTTTCTGTCTGGCCACATTGAGGGCCTCGCGGGCCCTTTCAGCGAGGGCCCTGTACTCTAAAGGGTACTCCGTAGGGGCCCCTCCTGGGGGGCCCCCAGGGTCCCCAGCTAGGGGCCCCCAAGGGGCCCCTCTTGGGGTCCCCCAGGGGCCCCCTGCTGAACATCCCTCGGGGGCCCCTGCTGGGGGCCCCCAGGGGGCCCCTGCTGGGTACCCTTCGGGGGCCCCTGCTGGGTACCCTTCGGGGGCCCCTGTTGGGTACCCTTGGGGGGCCCCTGTTGGGGGCCCCTGGGGGGCCCCTGCGGGGGAAGTTGCGGACGGGTCAACAAAAGGGAAGCCCCTAGGAAGGTAAGGAGGCCTCCTAAGGAAGGCTGGGGGCCCCCCGGAGGGGCCCCCGGGAGGGCCCCCTGGGGGGCCCCCGGGGGCCCCTAGACCCCCCTGAGTGGGGTAGGAGGGGGGCCCCCCTTGCTGCAGCAGTTCAGAAGAAGCCTCTTCAGCAGAATCTGTAGAACGGCAACTGTGCAGCAGCAAATTGTCCTCCTGGGGGGCCCCCATGGGGGCCCCCGAGGCGGCTCGCTCCCTGGGGATGGGGGCCCCCACGCTGGCGCTCCGAGGGGGCCCCCGGGGGCCCCCAGGGGCCCCCCAGTCCGTCCCGTGTCGGGGGCCCCGGGGGGTCAAGCTGCGGGGGGCCCCCAGGATGGCTGCTGCTGCTGCAGTGGGGGCCCCTGCTGCTTCTGCCGTGACCAGGCGCTGCTGACTCTGCTGCTGCTGCTGCTGCTGCTGCTGCTGCTGCTGCTGCTGCGCACTTTCAAGGGGCCCCCGGGCACTGCCCCGCGGGGTTGGGGGGCCCCTGTAGGGGGCCCCCCTTGGGGTTGGGGGGCCCCCCAGGGTCAACTGAGATAAGAAATCATTGAAGTCAAGGGGCAGCGCAAGGGCCCCCAGCTGCGCGTGGGGGGCCCCCTGCTTGAGGGCGCACATTTCTGTGTAGACCTGAGATATATGTTCTCTTATTTCCTTCCTAAGCAGCAGCAGCAGCAGCAGCAGCAGCAGCAGCCGAAGCAGCATTAGCAGCAGCAGCAGCAGCATCAGCAGCAGCAGCAAACACAAGGGCCTCCTCTGCAGTCCTCTTGCGTGCGCCAACCTCAGAAAGGTGCCGCTGCAGTAATCACTCCTGCTCTTGCTGCTGCTGCTGCTGCTGCTGCTGTTATAATAGCAGCAGCAGCAGCAGCAGCAGCAGCAGCAGCAAAAGGATCCTTCCTCACCGTGTAGTCGAAAGCGCTTCTGCTAGGAAGGACCACTGGGGGCCCTCGAGGGAGCCCAAGATAACCACCTGCAGCAAACCCGAGCCACAGGGCACTAAACCCTAAACCCTAAACCCTAAACCCTAAACCTCAAAACCCTAAGCCCTAAACCGTTAAGCTCGTAAGCCTAAGGCCCAAACCCTAGACGCTTGGCCGTAGGGCACCCCTACCCCATTAGCACGGAACCTCCCCGATCGAACCCTAAACCCTAAACCCTAAACCCTAAACCCTAAACCCTAAACCCTAAACCCTAGCCCTTGCAGCACAGCCCCAAAATCATAGCTTACTTGCTCTGGCTCCTGCTGCCCCTTTCTGGGGGTTTCGCTAGGGGAGCCCCCCGAAAGGGTTTCCCTGAGGGCCCCCTGGGGGCCCCCCCTGGGGGCCCCCCCCGAAAGGGTTTCCCTGAGGGCCCCCTGGGGGCCCCCCCTGGGGGCCCCCAGGGGGGCCCCCCCGGGGGCCCCCCGGGGGGCCCCCAGGGGCCCCTGCGGGACACGCGTGGCAAAGGCCCCCAACTCTACAAGGCGGCGGCCAGCAGTGAGAAGCCTCATGAGGGGCCGCAGAAGAGAAGAGACGCGCAGCCAGCACTTTCTGAGGCGCAAACCCTAAACCCTAAACCCTAAACCCTAGACCCTAAACCCTAAACCCTCGACTGTGGGCGCCGGCGCTGCAGCAAGGCAAGAGGGTGGGCTTAGAGGCGCTCAGGGATCTGTGCAAAAGAGAGTAGGAGCTGCTACACCAAGAAGGCAAGCCCAAGGGTTTAGGGTTTAGGGTTTAGGGTTTAGGGTTTACGAGGCAAGCTGCGTAAGGAAGTTGTCGTGGACAAGACGAATCTCTTCAAAGTCTCTCCGCCCCCTCGCCGCTTCTTCCACCTCACTGAACGCCGGCTGTGCCCACAAAATCAAACCCTAAACCCTAAACCCTAAACCCTAAACCCTAAACCCTAAACCCTAAACCCTAATGCTACAGAGGAGCCTGCCCGCCTCAGGCAGAGCCTTGCAGCCCCAAGGGGGGCCCACAGCCACCGCAGGGGGCCCCTCAGGGGCCCCTTTATGCTCTCAATGGGGCCCCTAGGGGGCCCCCCAATGCTGCATGGGGGGCCCCCACAACTCCAGAAAGCATTTGCAATTCCCCTTACACCCATATAGGGGCCCCCTGGGGGCCCCCTAAGCCCTGGAGGGCCCCCAGGGGCTTACAGGGGCCCCCAGGGCTCCTGGGGGGCCCCCCAGGGGCCCCTGGGCTGCTGGGGGCCCCCCGGGGCCCCTGGGGGCCTCACGGGGCCCCAGGGCTTTGAACTTACATCAATTGCGTAATATTGAAAATAAGCAAAAATGTTGGAGACATAAAAGTCCAGCTCTGCGCGGGCTGCCCAAAAATGCCGCGAGACCATCTGGGGGCCCCCGAGGGGGCCCCCGAGGGGGCCCCCGGGGGGCCCCCTGGGGCCCCCGGGGGGCCCCTGGAGGGGCCCCTGGGGGCCCCCAGGGGGACCCCCGCTAAAGGCAATTCGAGGGCTTCTAGAATAGACCCTGAGGGGACAAAAGTGACAAAAAGGAAGGAGAAGAGTTGCAGCTGAAAGGAAATAAAATAAAAGAAGACAAAGAAATAAATAAAGAAACAAAGCAACACGAGCAGCAGCAGGAGCAGCGCAGGCCCACGCAGCAGCAGCAGCAGCAGCAGCAGCAAAAGCGGCAGCAGCAGTAGCAGCAGCAGTTGCTCGCCCACTTTCTCAGGAGGCAGCTGCGCAGCCATAGCTGCTGCAGGTCAACTTGTAGAGACCTGCAGAGCAGCAGCAGCAGCAGCAGCAGCAGCAGCAACAGCAGCAGGAACTGCAGCAAGCGGGGCGCCATGCAGCCCGTCGGCCAGCTTTTCCTCCAGCGAATATAGCCGCATAGGGGAAAAGGGAAATTTAGGGTTTAGGGTTTAGGGTTTAGGGTTTAGGGTTTGGGTACCGCAGCTGCAGCAGCAAAGAAAATAAAGCATTGTAAGTTTCTACAGAACTCTCGTGCAGCAGCAGCGGGAGGGGCCAGGGGGCCCCCTTAGGGTCAAGCTGCAGCCGGGCGACGAGGGCCCTGGGGGCCCCTGCGTGGGGCCCCTCTGCTGAGTTTATTGGCAGCTGCTGCTGCTGCTGCTGCTGCTGCAGCAGCCCTCGCAGCTGCAGCGGCGGCGGCTGCGACTCGTGGTACCAGCGGCGTACGCGGATACACCTGAACAGCAGCAGCAGCAGCACAAGCAGCCGTCTGCGTCAGCAGCAGCAGCAGCAGCAACGGAAGCAGCAGCAGTAGCAGCAGAAGCAGCAGCAGCAGCAGCAGCAGAAGCAGCAGCAGCTGCTGCCCCTCACCAGTCAGTCGACTCGAACGTGGGGGGGACCACCGTGGCGCATGGCCCTGAGGTACATCAAGCAGCAGCAGCAGCAGCAGCAGCAACAGCAACATCAGCAGCAGCAAGCCTGGCAGCATCTGCTGCAGCAACAGACTAGCCGGAGCAGCAGGCGCAGCAGCAAATTTCGCGCCAAGAGCAGATACAGCGACAGCAGCAGCAGCAGCAGCGGAATCTAAAGCAGCAGCAGCAGCAGGCCTAGGAGCCGCAGCAGCAGCACTAAGAAAATCAGCAGCAGAAACACATTTTCCTCGGCAGCAGCAAAGCGTCCGCTGCACCAGCGCCAGCAGCAGACAACCGTCAGCAGCAGCAGCAGCAGCAGCAACAGTGACTTCGGCAGCAGCAGCAACAGTGACATCGGCAGCAGCAGCAACAGTGACATCGGCAGCACCAGCAACAGCAGAAGCAGCAACACCAGTAGCAGCAACAGCAGCAGCAGCAGCAGCAGCAGCAGCAGCAGCAGCAGCAAAGGCACCTTGTGGGGGGGCGTCTCGGCGCTGCAGCTGCCGGTGCTGGTACTTCAGAGGAACTGAAAAAAGGCTGCAGGCAGCAAATTTAAGCAGCAGCAAAAACAAAAAAACAATTTAATAAAACAAATTAAATAAATAATCTTTTAGAATGAAACAGAAGAGAAGTCTTTCCTCAGGTTCAAACTCAAATAGGCAAACGAGCAGCAGCAGCAGCAGCAGCAGCAGCAGCAGCAGCAGTACAGCTGTGCAGAGAGACCAGCTGAAAGGTCTTGGGGCTGCAGCAGAAAATTCTTCTTAGGGGAACCCCACAGCAGCAGCAGCAGCAAAAGCAAAAGCAGCAGCACAAGCAGCAGAAAATGCGGCAGCAAACTAGCCGCAGCAGCAGCTGCAGCAGCTGCAGCAGCAGCAGCAGCAGCAGCAAGTCGCACCCCACATAGGCGGCGCCGAGTCTGAGGGAGATGAGGCTGCTGAGCTGCAGACAAAAGAGAAGAGCAGCAGCAGCAGCAGCAGCAGCAGCAGCAGCAGCAGCAGCAGCAGCAAATCAGACCAGCAAATGGCAGCAAACAAATAAAAGTAGCCATTCCTTTTATTTTTATAAACCCAACAGTGAAGCAATTAATGAACAAATAAATTAATAATAATAATGAAATGGACTGCAGCAGCAAAGAGGCCCCAATGCGGTAACGGAGGGGCCCCCTAGGGGCCCCCACCAGGGGCCCCCCAAGAAGGGGGCCCCCAAGAAAGGGGCCCCCAAGAAGGGGGCCCCCAAGAAGGGGGCCCCCAAGAAAGGGGCCCCCAAGAAGGGGGCCTTCAAGGTGCATAAGAAGTAACGAATCGCCTGCAAAAGGCCCCTCGTGTGAGGGTTCCAAGGGGCCCCCCAGCGGCCCCCCAGGGGCCCCCAAGGGGCCCCCAAGGGGCCCCCAAGGAGCCCCCAAGGGCCCCTAAGGGGCCCCCCAGGGGCATCGGCGAGCCTGCACGGGGGCCCCAAAGGGCCTCTGGGGGCCCCCGAAGGTCCCTGAGGGCCCCCGGGGGCCCCTGAGGGTCTCTGGAGGCCCCTAGGGGGTCCTGGGGGCCCCTGAGGGCCCCCGGGGGCCCCTAGGGGCCCCTGGGGGCCCCTGCAGTTGGTATTAATGTCAGTCTCACTTCAAAGCCTGATATATCCAGCAGCGGCGGGGGCCCTGCGGAGCCCCTGAGGGCCCCCGAGAGCTGCCGCTGCTTCTGCTGCTGCTGCTGGGGGCCCCTTGCTGCTGTTACCCTCAGGCGCTCCCTCTCTAGGGAGAAGTCCACGCTGCAGCAGACAAAGCCAGGCCACAAGAGCCTTAATCTGCTGCTGCTGCTGCTGCAGCTGCAGCAGAAAAGAGGCAGAAGCAGCAACAGCAGGAACGAGAAACAGCAGCCCCAGCAGCAGCACAAGAAACGGCAGCAGCAGCAGCAGCAGCACCAAACACCAGTAGCAAGAGGCCTCCGCCCCAACCCCAGCGCCTACAGAGCAGCAGCAGCAGCAGCAGCAGCAGCAGCAGCAACAGCAGCAGCAGCATCAAGAAGCACCCACTCCAAGCCCAGCAGCCGCAGAACAGCAGCATCAAAGCAGCAGTGGTAGCCCCCGCACCAACAGCAGCAGCAGCAGCAGCAGCAGCAGCAGCAACAGCAGCAGCAGCAGCAGCAGCCCTGCGCACTCAATGTGCACTTCTTGCGTCTCAAGAGATGAGTCTAAAGGCCAACTTATGAGGCCCCGCCGCAGCAGCAAAGCAGGCGGGGGCAGCAGGGTTTGCTGGGGGGCCCCCAAGGGGGCCCCCGGGGGGCCCCCCTCTTGTGGGTGCGGGTGCCGCTGCAGAGCCCACGGATGGGCCGGCAGCTGCAGCAGCGGCTGCTGCTGCTGCTGCTGCTGCTGCTGCAGCGCGGAGACAAAAGAAGCAGCAGAACTCTGTGGGGTCTCCTTCAGCAGTCCCCGCTCAAAGTGGCAGGCGAGGGCCCCTGCACCTGTCAAGAAACCAGGCAGCCCGAGCAGCAGCAGCAGCAGCAGCAGCAGCAACAGCAAAATTAGCTGCAGCAGCTGCAGCGCCAGCAACACCGCTGGGGACAAATCAAATGTGCGCAACAACTGCCCATCGCCGCCAAAACGTGCAGCAGCAGCAGCAACACCGGCAGCAGCAGCAGAAGTACCAAAAGCATAAACGGCAGCAGCAGCAGCAGCAGCAGCAGTAGCAGCAGCAGCAACAGCAGCAGCAGCAGCAGCTACCTATAAGGAGGTCTGCTTCGACAGCCAAATGGGGCCCCGATTGTCCGTCAGGGTTAGGGATTGTGCCCAGCCGGAATTCCAAAGCCACGCAGTCACCTGCACACCAAACCCTAAACCCTAAACCCTAAAGCGTCTTCTTCCTACACCTCCGTGCTTCGATGGGCTTCCCCAGTGTCGGAATAATGAGGGCGTAGCAACAAGGGTTTAGGGTTTAGGGTTTAGGGTTTAGGGTTTACCTAGCGAGGGCCAGAAAAAGTCACAGGGGCCCCCCGCGCACTGCAAAGGGTTTCGATTTTGGGGGGCCCTCATCAAGGGGGCCTCTTTTAAGGAGATGGGGGCCCTATTGCTCTGCAGCACGAGGGCCACGCATGCCCCTACGCCTATTGGGGGCCCCCCCGGGGGCCCCCCCGGAGGCCCCCCAGGGGGCCCCCCGGGGGGCCCCCCGGGGGCCCCGGGGGCCCCCCAGGGGCCCCCTCCAGGGGCCTCCAGGCGCAGCTGGAACCCGTGCTGCAGCAGCAGCGCAGCAGCAAACGCAGAGGGGCCTTAAGTGCATCAAAATGGAATTAATTAAAATACAAAAAGGTACTTTTTTGTAACTAATTTGGGTATTTAAACTACAATTGCATTATATGCAGAATTCACGTAAAGTATAAATAAAGAGGCTGCATGCATGCGCAGCAAATGCATGCAAACATGCAAAATGCACATTTTCATCAGCTCTAAAGAAGTCAAAAAAAGGAAAAGAATTAAATTTAAAAAGCAAAAAAGAAAAAGATTAAAAATAAATCTTTTTGTCTTCACCTTGAAGCCGTGCCGCACTAGCTGCCTCTCAGGGTGCAGCGCAGCGCCTAGAGGGCACTGGGGGGCCCCTGGGGGCCCCCCGGGGGCCCCTGAGGCCCCCTGAGGGGCCCCCGGGGCCCCTGGGGGGCCCCTGGGGCCCCCCGAAACCGAAGGGTGCCGGAATACTATTTCTCCGTCCTCCAGCCTGCGGGCAAACCCTCAGCCCAAACCGTAAACCCTAAACCCTAAACCCTAAACCCTAAACCCTTTCCCCCTCCCCACAAACAGTTCAACTGCGGTGGGCCCCAACGGTAGTTCTTGCTGCTGTCTGAAGACGCTGCAGCGCGCAGCAAGCCCAGTGCTAGCAGCAGCAGCAGCAGCAGCAGCAGCAGCAGCACAAGCAACAGCGGCAGCAGCACAAGCAACAGCAGCAGCAGCACAAGCAGCAGCAGCAACAGCACACGCAGCAGCAACAGCAGCAGCAGCAGCAGCAAAAGCAGCAACAGCAGCAGCACCTAGCCTTTCCTCTGAATACAAGGTCAGACTCCTGTAGAGGTTTGCCCCGAATCAGACTGAGAGGGGGGCCCCCCGAGGCCCCGGGGGCCCCCAGCGCAAACCCTAGGCACTGCAGCGTGGGCTCAAGGAGGGGCCCCCAAGGGGCCCCCACCCCAAAGGCTGCGCCCCACACAGAGGCCCCGGGGGCCCCCTGGGGGTTCACCGGCATCAGCGCCTTTTGGATTTCACCTGCAGAAAGATGCAGCAAACATAAATATATATATTTGGGACTGTTGGGGGCCCCTTGGGGCCCCCTTGGGGGCCCCTTTGGGGGCCCCTTGGGGGCCCCTTTGGGGGCCCCTTGGAGGCCCCTTTCAGGGCTTTCTTGGGGGCCCCTCTGGGGCCCCCTGGAGGTCCCTTCGGAGCCCCTAGGGGCTAATGGGGCTGCAGCAAAATGCAGCTTCTCACCTTGAGCATTACTTTGCTGCTGCTTCTGCGGTGTCTGATGGGCTTGGGCCCCCCCTCGTGCTGCTGCTGCTGCTGCTGCTGCTGTTGCTGCAGTTGCTGCAGTTGCTGCAGTTGCTGCAGTGGCTGGAGCACTTTCAGGGCTTTCTTGGGGGCCCCTCTGGGGCCCCCTGGAGGTCCCTTCGGAGCCCCTAGGGGCTAATGGGGCTGCAGCAAAATGCAGCTTCTCACCTTGAGCATTACTTTGCTGCTGCTTCTGCGGTGTCTGATGGGCTTGGGCCCCCCCTCGTGCTGCTGCTGCTGCTGCTGCTGCTGTTGCTGCAGTTGCTGCAGTTGCTGCAGTTGCTGCAGTGGCTGGAGCAGCAGCAGCATCAGCATAAGTCGGGTTTGCCTGCGCTGCTGCTGCAGCCCAAAGGCTCCGGACGCGAAGTGTCAAGGGGCCCCCTGGGGGGCCCCCCGGGGGGCCCCCCGGGGGCCCCCCAGGGGGGCCCCCCAGGGGGCCCCCAAAGTGAACCCTTTCCTCGTCCCAGGGGCCCCCCAAGAATCGACGGCTGCCTTCTAAAAGAAAGGTGAAGAATAGACCTACAGCAGCAAACCCTAAACCCTAAACCCTAAACCCTAAACCCTAAACCCTAAACCCTAAACCCTAAACCCTAGTTTCTGCATTCCGAGGCCATTACAAAGATTAATGAATACGGAAGTATTTGAAAAAGCAAAAGAAAGGAAAATAAGAAGAGATAAGAGAAGAGATGGAAGTAAAGATAAATGATAAAATGAAAGAAGTGGATAAGAAGCAAATCAATAAATAAATGGATAAAATAAAAGAAATGAATAATTGAAAAAACATTTGTGGGCCAAAAAAATAAAAGGAGTTTAAATGAATAAAGATATAAATAAAAATAAGTCAATTTTTAGTTTCAAAAAGTCAATTTGATAAATGAAAACATGGTAAATGCCAGCTAAAAAAGAAAAGAATATAAATAAATAAATGAGCAAATAAAAATAAATAAATAAAATTAATTACACAAAAATGAATTGATCAAAAATCATTACTTGAAAACTGGATTGAAAAATGAATCAGATAATAAACTCATGAATAAATGAAGCTTTATTTATTTATTTATTTATTTGTTCCTTGGTTTACCATTTCTTTGTTTATTGTTTTTATTTATTTTATTATTTGCTTCGCTTTATTTCCCATTAGTTCTTTTTTTCATTTTTCATTTATTTTGCTTAGTTGTCTTTTCGCTTATTTAATTGTCTCAACTTAATTCTTTTTATTCACTTTATTTATTTATTTATGCAAATAAGGAGGAAAAAGGAAAAAATGAATAGAAGAACAAAGTAAATAAATAAATAAATAAATAAATAAATAAATAAATAAAGTGAATAAAAAGAATTAAGTTGAGACAATTAAATAAGCGAAAAGACAACTAAACAAAATAAATGAAAAATGAAAAAAAGAACTAATGGGAAATAAAGCGAAACAAATAATAAAATAAATAAAAACAATAAACAAAGAAATGGTAAACCAAGGAACAAATAAATAAATAAATAAATAATATACAATTACACAGGTAATTAATCAATTCATTAAATTAGTTATTTATCTATTTGTGTATTTATATATCTGTAATCTATCTATTTATTCTTTTATCTTTTTATTGTTTGTTCATTTGTTTGTTTACCTATTTATTTATTTATTTATTTATTTATTTGTTTATTTATTTATTTGGTTATTATGTATTTATCTGTTCATTTATGTATTTATTTATTTTTTATGTATTTTATTTATTTATTTATTTATTCATTTATGTGTTTATTTAT